GCCTGGACCCCACTGCGCGTCTAGAGGCCCGGAGGAGGGGCGGCCCTGAAGCCCGGCCACGCCCCCGAGGCGCCCCGGACGCTGGACACGCCCCCGAGGGCACCCGGAGACCGGCCACCGCCCCGTGGGCTCTTGTAACTGCGCCCATGGGGTCCATGGGGGACACCTCTGCATACCGGCCCAGCCCGTCTCTTTGGGCCAGTGGGTTTCCCCTCTCCCTGATTTCTCCAGAAGGGCCACCACCCTGAGGGTTCCAGGAGGCCGACGGCCCCCCAGCTTCCTGAAGGCGGGCCGCCCCTCTTCGGCCTGCCGGAAACTGACAGGCTGCTGCCTCGGTCGCCTGGAGGCTGGACCCCCGAGATTAACTGGCGACTGGCCACACACCCTCTGCATTTCCCTGGAGACTGGAAACGCGTCCCTTCGAGCAGCTGCACACCGGGCCCCTCCCCATGACCTGGGGAGAAAACGCAAACCTCAGGGTTTCCAGGTGACGGCGCGCCCCACCCCGCGGCCTGAGAGTCTCCTGAAGTTTCCAGGGTAACAAGCGCATCCCAGACCCCGCAAGGACAGTCCCACCCATGTTTCATGGAAGAACACACTTACTTGTCACCCAGGTGGCCCAACACCCCGCAGGTGGCTGCGACAGTGGCGGTTATGCCCCACCCACCCCTCAGTATTTTATGGAGGAGGAGTAGATCCGTCCCCACCACCCCAAGGCCACTTACAGGGCTGTCACCAAAGAGATCACTCCCTTGGTCCAGGGACCCCTGAGATTTTGTCATGGAGACCAGCTGCCCAGCTCCTTACTGTCTCCAAGGGAACCAAGCTTCCACGGGCCGCCTAAAGTGACAGCCCTCATCAGTCACGCCCAGGGAGCGGGCACCTCCCTCCTCCGGCCGTAACCGTGGATACCACACGATTCCCATCTCACCAGCCTTCACCCCAGAGGCTACAGCTCCACTCGGGCTGTCCCCACTCTCACCCACCACCGTGGAAAGCGCCCTCCTCAGAACTGTCCCCAGGGCGACCCAACATTTAGTTCTGCCGCTGTCACTATGGAAACGGGCCACCCCCTTCCCCTGGCGCACCCCCAGCTCCAGGCTCCGCCCCCAGGCTGCTAGGAGACCCCTCTGTTACCGTGGAAACCAAACTCTGGTGTCTGAGGTGACACAACACCTGTCCCTATAGGCTTTTCCTCCACAGAATCTCTGCCCACCAAGCTGTCGCCATAACGACGTCAACATCGTCCCCATGGCAACCGACCTCCCAGTTCTCAGGAACTTCTCGCCAGGGGCCGGATGGCCGCCCCTTCGCCAGATGGGCCCCCCCTTCGCCAGATGGGCCCCCCCTTCGCCAGATGGGCCCCCCCTTCGCCAGATGGGCCCAGGCTCAGCACCCCAGGCAAGGCTGGACTTCCGGAGCCGCTGGCACCCTCCGTTTGCACGCTAACTATACGCCCGGCAGCTGCTGTGCACGCGCCACCCAGGCACTTTGATTTCCGCCTACGGGCCGGACTCAAGCTGTAGTGTGCTCCCCGCGTTTGAACTGCTCGGGCTCTGAGGCCCCGCCCACCTCTCGGGCCCCGCCCACCTCTCCCGGGTTGGGGGCCCTCGAGCCCAGCTCCCCAGGAGCGCGGTTTGTGCAGTGAGGTCGGAGGTCAGGAGCCGGGCGGCCCTCCCCCGGACAGCTTCCTCCTGGCCCCCGGGGCGGGAGGCCCCTGCTCTGAGGTCCTGCCTGGAACCCTCGCCGCTGTTCCTGTCTCGGGGAGCGCCTCTGAGCTAGGCCATCGGGGAACGTGGGTTCGGACCCGCTCTTGTTCTTGCTCACTGTGTGACCAAGCGACGGATCCCCTCTGCGCCTGTTTCCTTCAGCGTCCAGGGTTGTTCTGAGGTCCCCTCGAGCGCAGTGCGTACAGCAGGAGTTCAATAAATCTTTGATTCTTTTAATGAATAAGAAAAAAAGTTTGATGAACAAAATGTTTTGGGGCTGGGCGCGTGGGTTTGAGCGCGTGGGGAAACCTCTCCCCTCATCCTTCAGGTTCCACACTGCCAGTCCCTCACCCTCAGTTCCTCTTGTGTATCCCAGGCCGTCCTCACACTCGAAATCCTCCTGCCTCGGCCTCACAGCGCTGGGAGAGGTGGTCCGCTACGCCTGGCTTAGCTCTGTCCTGATTGGGTCCTTGAGAATACCCGCCTTCCCCGCCTCATCTGGGGCAGGAGTCCGGCTGCTCGGACTGGCGGCTTCAGCCCAATGAGTGCTTGTGGCCCGTTCCCTGGGAGATCCTGATTGGCCCGGAGGCGTAAGCATGGATGCATGCAAACCAATGAGACGCAGTCCCGGGGATTTTGGCTCCCGGATCGGGCAGGGCAGTCACCTTTCCTCTGGAGCGGTTGCCACGCAGGGCGGATTCCCAGACAGACACTTTCTGAAGCGGGATGTCCAGGAAAACGCTCCCCTCCCCTGCCTTCCCGCACCCAAGCCCGCCCCAGGGACACCCAAGGGCCAGGGTCCCCTGATCCCAGGCTCCACAGTATCCATGTCCTCTTATCAGTCTGCACACATCCCCCTTGTACTTTAAATCATCTCTAGGTTGCTTTTTAATTTTTATGTTATTTCAATTGTTTAAAATCCATGTTAGTTATACAAACAAGTGGGTTTTGTTTTGACCTATGACAGGCATAGAACATTTGATCATCTTTACTCCCCACGCCCTGACCCACTTCATCCTCTCTCAAGTCTCCCTTCCTTCCCTCACCCCTTCTTTTTTTTTTTTTTTTTTGTACCAGGAATAGAACTCAGGACTCTGAGCTTGCCAGGCGGGTGCTGTGCCGCTGAGCTAGATCCCGCGCCCCTCCCTGTCTTTCTTTTTCTTTCTCTTTTTTCCTCTTTCTTCTTTCTTTTCTTTTTCTTTCTTTCTTTCTTCTTTCTTCTTTTTTCTCGTTCTTTCTTTCTTTTGTCCATTCTTTCCTTCCTTTCTCTTTTCCTTTTTCCTCTCTCTGCCTCATTCTGTGGATTGAACCCAAATCCTTCACAGAGCTACATCCTGAGCCCTTTCTTAATCTGTAGTTTGAGCTAAGGTCTCTCTAAATCACTAAGTTACCTAGGGTGGGCTGGGCTCCAGTTTATGACCCTCCTGCCTCAGCTTTCCCGAGTGCCAGGATTGTGGTTTATGCCCCATGCCTGGGTCCCTGCTGATCTACTTGCTGCTCTTCTCCTTTTGATTCACCCACTCCTCCAGGAAGCCTTCCTTGAGCACCCTCCCAACCCCACCACCGCCCAGCCCCCAGCACACTACCAGGCTCACCAAATCATTGCAGAACAAATGAGTGAATGCAGCCGGACGTGGTGGTGCACACCTATAAACGCAGCGCTCAGGAGGCTGAGGCAGGAGGATGGTTGCGAGTTGGAGACCAGCCTGGGCTAGAAAGTGAACTCAAGGCCCGCCTGAACTGCATAGCGAGACCCTGTCTCAAAAAAGACAAACAACCACAAAGAAACTCCGAAGGAATGAACAGTCAGGTGGTGACAAACAGGTTGAACTGTTAAAAAATTTTTATTAAAATGTCGAAGAAGTACATTAATGTCCACAGTGTCAGATACCACAGACCCACGGAACACTGCAGCTCAAAGCACACCCAGCAGCCCCCAAAGCTGTTCACGCGCACCCACACTCTCACGCAGACACACACATGCCCCGCGTGACCGGAGACAAAGCCCCGAGCCCCGGGCCTGGGAGCTGGGGTGGGGCCAGGGCGGGAGCACCCACCACAACCCCACAGGAGCCCCCAGCTCGCCCAGGCTGAGCCGGATCTTCTGGGACGCGCTCGACAGAGATGCGTCATTCTGCTCACCACCCTTTTAAAACCAGGAAGTGTTAGAAAATCAGAGGACAGACCTAGGTCGCTGGCTTTCTCCACAGTAACATGGGGTGCACAGAGACGGGGCTGATGCCCGCGGCAGGGAACTGGAGGCCACTGTCCAGGGCGAGTGTCCAGTGGCCCTCCCCATTTCCCGCACGTGTGGGAGATGAGAACTTTTCCTTCTTTCTTCCTTTTTCTCTCTTCATATAGGGTCTCTCTATGTAGCCCAGGCTGACCTTGAACTCAGCCATTCTCCTGCCTCAGCCTCCCGAGTACCGGGAAGGCAGGCGTGTGCCACCACAGCGGGCTCCAGTTAACACATTTCTACCTTTACTATACCCCTAGGTGGATCACACATCTGCACATCTCTCTTTCCAGTCGAGAGCCATTTTCCACTATGATTTTAAACGTAAACCCACAGCTTTCTTCAGACTGGAGGAGCTGAGGGTAGGAAGCAGACTTGGAGGAGGAGCCGTGGGTCTCTCAGGTAGATTCTGGCTTCCGGCCTGGGGTGGGTTTTTGCAAATTTGGGGGAGGAAGGCAAGGTTAATTCTTTCTCACTTAAAAAAAAACTGTTAAACTATGAGAGGAAAATGTGAGTGCGTTTCGGTTTTAACGCGGGGCGTCTCTCCACCATGTGACCACAGGGAGGGGTCCCCACCTCGAGGTGTAAGCATTCCTGGCCCTCCAGGCAAAGGCTGGAGGCAAGGATGGGGGGGGGGAGGGCTGGGGCCCAGGGCAGGGGATGCCAATGTCTGCTTGAGGGACAGGTATATACAGGCACTGGGTTAAAAAACTTGGTACCTCCGAGGTGCACGAAGGAGGCTCTTTGTCTCCCTGAGATGGAAGGGGAAGAGCTCGGGCTCAGCCAACCCTAAATATCCTCTTCTGCTTGTGTGAGAAGGATCCATCACGAGGTCCAAGCAAGTCTCAGCGCCGCAGTAGGCTTGGGGGAAGCAGCGCAGTCTCCCTCCATACAGACACATCGCTCCGCACTCCTCCCCCAGCTCTGAGGGCAGGCAGAGCGGCCACGCTACAAACATTCCTCAAATTCAGTGCATTTGAGGGCCACTCACAGCAACCCTCTTGCCTCAGCCTCCCGAGTGCCTATCCACCAAGACCAAAGACCGAACTGGGGCTGAGTCCAAGGTGAAGGAAGAACAGTTGTCGAGTTCATGCCGTGTGCTTCTGTTTTGCCTTCTATTCCCAAAGCCAGTGACCTTAAGCAAAGGCTTCACCGAGGACAGCCAACTGTTTACTGAGCCTGAATCCCTAGTGCGAAAAGCAATTCCTTAGCACACATCCAAATGTACATCCTCATGCCTTCATCAAAGTCTCATTTCAACAAATGCCCATCAGCCTGGCCCACAGAAGATCAAACGACACAAAGAATGATCTTCACGCACGGTGCTGCCCTCAGCCGGGCAGCGCCCCCGAGTTCCACCCTGGCGGGAATGGACTTTTCAGACACGTGGCGACACCTGCCAAGAGGACCTCGAGGATGAGGGAGGACGGGGAGCTTTTTACAAGGGGTAGGTAGGGGTGTGGCGGGGGGCTAAGGGCTTCCAGGCCCTCCTGTTCTCCGGGCTCTGTCTCCCAGGCGTGGGAAGGGGCTGTGCTTTCTTTTGCCTGGTTCCTCAGCAGAAATCCCCTCCGTCCTTCTCCCAGTCCTCCGCGGGGTACTTCTTATGTTTTCTGCGCTCCTTGTGCGGTTTGTGGTGGTGGTGCTGGTGGTGGTGCCGCCGGTGTCTCCGCATCCGATGGGACCGTCTGGCTGCAGGGAGGGAAGGAGGACAGCAGGGGGCGGGCGTTGGTGGCAGTGGGGTGGCCACACCGGGCCAGCGGTAAATCCGGACGCAGCTGCGGGGCTGCGTTACCAGGCAGGGATGAAGCCAGACCCAGGAGCAGGACTGGAAACGGGCTGGGAGGGGCCTCGGGAACAGCGCTTACGTTTGGTACAGACGATTTCCGGCCGGTCCCACCTGCCGTTGCTGCGGCACCGGATGGTGGCCACGTGGTGCTGGGCAAAGCCTTCCTCACACTGGTAGCGCACCGTGGCATGCACGTTGTACTTAGCCTTGCGGGCACCGATGAGCAAGGCGTTCTCCACGGCCGGAGGCGGGCCACACAGCACTGGGACCGAGGGTGCTCGGTTAGGGAAGCGGAGGCAGTGTGTAGTCCGCTGGTCAGCTGGTCCCGCCCGCCCTCTGCCCAGCTCCAATCTCACAGGGCGGAAAACACCTGTTCTTCCCCACCCATCAAGAACTCCACAGGGGCAGGAGTCCTGCCCACGGCCCACTCCTAATTCCCATGCCAAGCACAGGGCACATGGGGACGATGGACGTGACACCAGCAAGGAAATGGGAGCAAGAACAAGTCAAAGCACAAGAGAGAAGTGGGAGGGAGAATGCACACAAATGGGGTCCTTCCTATGTAAAGAGCTGCAAAGAATCAACAAGACTCCCAAGTCAACAGGAAATCAGGCCAAGCAGATGAACCGCAAACAGTCTGTCCAAATATGGACAGTTGGTTATGTGCATCCTTGAAGCCATGAGAGGGACCAGGGGTGTGGCTTGCGGGCGAGTGTTTGCCCGGCACACGTGAGGCCCTGGGCTCCAGCCCCAGCACTGCCGAGAAATAAACTCAGCGCAGCGGGGCAGCACAGGCATCCGTGAGCACAGAAAGGCGGCGCGAGCGAGCGGTACCTGTGCCCTTCTTGCACACGTAGGGGAGGTTGTAGTTGCAGGGGACGTCGTTCCAGCGCCCACTCTCGTGCGCCACCATCACCACGCAATCCTCCCCTCCCGCGAAGAAGTTGTCCGGCTGCTTCTCGCGCCAGTTCTCGTATTGCTGCAGGAACAGGGCGCTGAGCCCAGCCCGGGCTCCGTGTAGGCTCCAAGGGATCCCCGGGCCTGACCCCTCAAACTCAGAAGGACTCACTGTCCCCGCACTACGGTGGGGCCCCTGCCTCGGCCGAGGGTGCCGTAACCCTGGCCACCCTCCTTCCGCCAGGAGGCCGCGCATCCTCTGCTCCGCTTTGCCTGCCTTCTCCCTTACAGAAAGGGAGCCAGTTCCGAGCAAAGGGAACAGCAAGCACAAAGCATTGGAGGCTGAGGCAGGAGGACTGCTGGGAGTTGGAGGCCAGCCTGGGCTACATAAAGGGATCCTGCCTCAAACAACCAAAGACCCAGAGGCAGGAAAAGAATCAGGGCGGGGGCGGGGCTGCCTGCTAGCTTTGGGGTGTGGTCGGAGTGGGCTGGGCCAGATCTGTCCTCAGCCTAAAGAGTGTGTGTGTTTGTGGTGCTTGGATGGAACCAGGGCCTCACGCATGCTGGTCAAGCTCTCTCACTGAGCTGCACTCTAGCCCTTTTTTAATTTTGAGACAGTCTCACCAAGTTGCCCAGCCTGGTCTCAGACTTGCAGTCCTCCTGCCTCAGCCTCCCAGGCAGCAGGGATTACAGGTGTGCGCCACTATGTATAGCTCGGAATTTTAAAAAATTGTGTATATGGCATGAAAGTTACTATTTTAACCATTTTTAAGCACAGTTTATTGGCACTAATTACATTCAGATGTTGTATAACCATCTCCACTATCTATTTCCAAAACTGTTTTATCACGACAAACCAAATGCTGTACCAATTAAGGAAAAGAACTTTCCATTCGCCCTGCTTCCAGCCCCTGGCAAACACTGATCTCCTGTGTTTCTATAAATTTGCCTCCCAGGATATTCTATATAAAGGGACCCATGCGCTATGTGGCTTATTATGCACTGATGGCTTGTTGCACTGATTTGCTGGTGGTGGAACTCAAACCCAGGGGTGCTCTGCCACTGAGCTACATCCTTAGCCCTTTTTGCTTTTTTTTTTTTTTTTTTTTTTTTTGAGGCAGGGTTGCGCTAAGTTGCTCAGCTGGGCTCAAAGTTATGATCCTCCTGCCTCAGCCTCCCAGCGTGCTGGGGTCACAGGAATGCACCTCTGTTTATCCATACTGCAGCACCTTTTCATGGCTGTGTAATATTCCATCGTGTGGATGGACCATGTGTCGTTTATCCTTTGATGGACATTTGGGCTTCTCCCACCTCTTGGGCTGCTGTGAGTGCTGGTGGATAGTATGTGTTTACACGGCTACTTTTCAGTTTTTGTTTTTCCACTCCTTTCTCCAGGTGCTAGGAGTGGAACCCAGGGCCTTGTGCATGCTAGGCAAGTGCTCCGCCATTGAGCTTCTAGGCCACCCTGAGGGGTAATTTTTTTAAAAGTCCTTGTGTGTGGGGGTCTCCTTTGGGGGTGATGAAAACGTTCTGGTCTTCGATGGAGGCTGTGGTTACAGACTATTATAAATGTACCAAATGTTACTGAATTGTACTCATTAAAGTAGTTCCTTATGTACTACAAGCATGTACTGAAAAAAAAAAGAACAAAAAACGTGGTTAGTTTAGCCAGGTGTGGTGGCGCATGCCTGTAATCCCACACTTGGGAGGCTGAGGCAGGAGAATCACCAAAAGTTTGAGCCCACGCTGGGCTACACAGTGAGCTGAAGGTCAGCCTGGACCATACAGGGAGACCCTGTCTCAAAAAACAAAAAGGTTAGCTTCCTGACATGTAAATGCCACCTAAGCATTTGCAAGCAAAGCCCCCAGCCACATTTGATGATGGAGGCGGAGGCAGGAGGACTGTGTCACCCAGGAGTGGAAAAAGCCCAGGGAACACAGTGAGGCTTTGTTCATACAAGAGGCTGGCTGTAACACAGTGAGACCCTGTCTCTCAAAACACAAAACAAAACGAAAAAACCCTCCAGGCTAGCTCAGGTGCCCCACTTTGTCATCCCAGCTACTTAGGAGGCCGAGGCAGGAGGATTTCAAGTTTGGAGCCTGCCGGCGGAACTGAGCAAGACCCTATCCGGCAGTGAAAGGGCGGCCGCGCACACAGCGGGGAGCTCGGGACAGCGCGCTCAGGGCCCTCGCTCCGTCCCCAGCGCCGCACCCGGCGCTCTCCAGGTCCCGCGGCTCCCAGGTGGGGTGGGGTCAGGGCCCGGGCTCCTGCGCGCCCCGGGGAGCGGATGTGGGGAAGGGGCGGCGGGGCTCGGGAGTCCCGGGAACCCCTCCGCCGACTCCCGCGCCGCAGAGCCCGGGGTCCCCTGCCGCCCAGCGGCATTCGCTTTGGACAAGAGGGTAAACTGAGGCCCGAGGACAGGGCCCAGGCGGCCGGGCGGACAGGGTCGGCCACTCACCAGCCCCGTGTTGTCCGTCCACTGGAAGTCGCGCTCCACGATCCGGTCGTTCAGGCCGATCCACGTGTTCTCGTGCCCGAAGCCTGCGGGGCGGGGGCGTGAGGGCGCGGGCCGGGGCGCGGCGGGACAACAGCGCGGGGCTGGGGGGACCG